CTGTACTCATCTAGTTTTGCTCGCCTGGGTGTGCTTGCGAGGGTTGAGCGTTGACTCTTTGGTCCCGCCTTTCAACTGTCAATCAACTGGTGTACAGATTCCTGAGCCTACTGGGCTCTATCATATCTACATTTGAAACTGTGTATGGAGTCAGCCTCCACCACATCACTGCCTAATGCATTCCACCTGTTAACTACTCTAACAGAGTACTCTATACTGCTCTGTGTTTGCGTTTGTGTGTGTGTTCACCTGTTTATACGTGCAGGATCGAGCTTCTAGCTCTTGAACCCCGCCTTTTTTACCACTGTTTGACTAATGCAGATATGCCAGACCAATTTTTATGTCATATATACTAGATCAACGACTGACCACCCCCAGGATGCGACCCACAACAGCTGTCTAACTCCCAAGTTCCTATTTACTACCGCGGGGCATCGAACCTGCATTCCTGCGTACTGAGCTAACGTGTACCCACTTATTTGTCCCTGCAAGATCGAGCATTGGCTCTTCGATCCCGCCTTTCTAACTGCCGGTTGTTTAAGGCCAACCGGCCTTAAACATATTGGACTCAAATATGACTCCTGTTCTATTTACCTATCATATCTAGTTTTATAATTATAAATAGTGTTTGCTTCCTCAACCTGCTCCATAAGTTCATTCCATTTTCCCACTACTCTCACGCTAAATGAAAACTTTCTAATATCTCTGTGACTCATCTGAGTCTCCAGCTTCCACCCATATCTCCTCGTTCTGTTTGTATTCAATGCGAACATTTCGTTTATTTCCAGTCTGTCAATCCCCTTAAGTATTTTATTTTTCTGTTATATATATCCCAATTTTTTTTCTAGCGTCGTCGTGTTCAGTTCCTTCAGTCGCTCTTCATACCCCACCCCTTGCAACTCTGGGACGAGCCTCGTCGCAACCGTCTGAACCTTTTCTATTTTCTAATATGTTTCTTCAGGTGCGGACTCCCTGATGGGGCGGCATACTCTAAGACTGGTCTCACGTAGGCAGTGCAAAGCGCTCTAAATGCCTCCTTACTTTGGTTTCTGAATGATATTCTAACTTTTGCTAGCGTAGAGTACGCTGCTGTCGTTATCCTATTTATATGTGCCTGAGGAGTTACTTATGGTGTTAGGTCCACTCCCAGGTCTTTTTCTCGCATAGTAGCAAGAATATAGTTTCCTTTCATTGTGTACTGACCCTTTGGTCTCCTGTCACCTGGTCCCATTTTTGTCAATAAAGATGTTAATAATAATAATAGCGTATTATAAAGGACATAAATTCACTTTAACGCACCAGCGATAATTGTGAGAAAGTTAATCCCAGGAGTAAGAATCTTCCATATCTACAGAGATACAAAAAGCCAAATTTACTTTCTCTAAATTAGAAAGTTGAAGAATAAAGGGGTTAGATGCCTGAAGAATATAAATGCATGAATGAATAAGGGGATATAAATAAGATTATTAAATATATCAACATAAAATAGAACACGAAACAATGGATATAATTTGAATAAGTTTAGATTTAGGAAAGACCTGGGTAAATATTGCTTTGGAAACATGGTTTTAAATTATGGAACAATTACAAAGTAACACAATAGTCGTGGGGTCGCTGGAGTGTTTCAAGCGTAGGTTAGACATATATATATATATATATATATATATATATATATATATATATATATATATATATATATATATATATATATATATAATATTAGTATATTTTGGTAGTAGTCTTTCCTGTAGACATATATTATTAAATATGACCGAAAAAGTAAGATTAATAATTCTAACACGAATTTTCTCTATCTTTCTTATGTTTCTTTTCACTGTTGATGGTAATTCAAAGATCAATTCTCCAAAATAAAATAAAAATGAATTTTGGAGAATTGATCTTTGAATTACCATCAACAGTGAAAAGAAACAAGAAAGATAGAGAAAATTCGTGTTAGAATTATTAATCTTACTTTTTCGGTCATATTTAATAATATATATATATATATATATATATATATATATATATATATATATATATATATATATATATATATATATATATATATGAATGAGTTTGGGGGGATATAAATAGGAGCTGCTACGTGTGGGCCAATAGGTCATTTACAGTTGTCTCTGTCCCTGTGTTATGTGTATACTTGTGCGTGTATGTACTCTTATACACTCTCTTACACATACATCACCAACCTTTCTCCAGAGTGTGAAATAATAATGAGTGTTACCAAGAGGTATAGTATGGTCCTGGGAACACTATACGGCTCTGACACCTACCCACTGGCTCCTATATGTCAGAGATTCTGCTTTATTAAGTGTTTAAATCCTTATGTAACATTGGTAGAGAATGGCTATATAAGAGTGTGTTGTGTGGCAGGAGTTACAAGTAGGGGAGAGAGTATGTGGCGTGTTGTTTAGTGCTATAGTAGAGGAGAGGCCGGCGTGGCTCCCTGTGTTGCTCCCTTGTGGCTTTGTCTCCCTCGCTGCCTCTCCCTTCACGCTCTCTTCCACCCTCTCTCTCTCTCTCTCTCACACAACTTTCTCCTCTTTTCATCTGTTTATATAACTCATACAATTAATTTACACGAAGGTGCACTATGTATGGCCAGGTAGAGCCTGAGGATAATCTTCAAATTACGAGTTAAATTAGTTGTGTGGTTGAGGCGGGTGGCGGCCACGCCCTCCCGCTCTTCCAGGCGCGAGAGACAAATGACTCACGCCACTACAATCCCTCTTTAATTCCATTGTTTACATGTGCCGGGACAAAGAGCTCCGTTTACAATATCACTAAATGGTGCGGGGCCACGTAGAGGAGTAGGTGTAGAGTCGCTGAGCCTCAGGCGGGCAGCCTGGTGGTGGCGGTGCTTGGGGTGGTGACCCTCCCTGACGGTCAGGCTTGGCGCCCCTGGTGAGGCGTGTGGCAGTGTGGGCAACACTGCGGGGCGCACCAACACCCATTATAATGATTTATCAGCGTTTGTTATCTGTTGTGTTCGTAATCTAGATGGGTTGGGTGCTAGGCTTTGTGATTCCAGCAACTTTTTGTTATATGTAGTGACTCTTTCAATGTGTTTATAATGATCCCTTATCTTGCAACTTTGTTTACTTCCTCAACTGTTGTTGTGGTTCCCTCACTCCTGTGGTCCCCTCACTACTGTGGTTCCCTCACTCCTGTGGTCCCCCTCACTACTGTGGTCCCCTCACTACTGTGGTCCCCTCACTACTGTGGTTCCCTCACTCCTGTGGCCCCCCTCACTCCTGTGGTCCCCTCACTCCTGTGGTCCCCTCACTACTGTGGTCCCCTCACTACTGTGGTCCCCTCACTACTGTGGTCCCCTCACTACTGTGGTCCCCTCACTACTGTGGTCCCCTCACTCCTGTGGCCCCCTCATTCCTGTGGTCCCCTCACTCCTGTGGTCCCCTCACTCCTGTGGTCCCCTCACTCCTGTGGTCCCCCTCACTACTGTGGTCCCGTCACTACTGTGGTCCCCTCACTCCTGTGGCCCCCCTCACTCCTGTGGTCCCCTCACTCCTGTGGTCCCCCTCACTACTGTGGTCCCCTCACTACTGTGGTCCCCTCACTACTGTGGTCCCCCTCACTACTGTGGTCCCCCTCACTCCTGTGGTCCCCCTCACTCCTGTGGTCCCCTCACTCCTGTGGTCCCCTCACTCCTGTGGTCCCCCTCACTACTGTGGTCCCCTCACTACTGTGGTCCCCTCACTACTGTGGTCCCCCTCACTCCTGTGGTCCCCTCACTCCTGTGGTCCCCTCACTCCTGTGGTCCCCCTCACTACTGTGGTCCCCTCACTACTGTGGTCCCCTCACTACTGTGGTCCCCTCACTCCTGTGGTCCCCTCACTCACTCACTGTGGTCCCCCCCTCACTCCTGTGGTCCCCCTCACTACTGTGGTCCCCTCAATACTATGGTCCCC